TCTCTCCCCGCCCCCCCTCTCGCCCCTCTCTCCCTCCCTCCGTCTCTCCGTCTCTCTCTCTGTTTCCGCCCCTCTCTCTCTCTCTCTCTCTTTTGCCCTCCCCCCACCGACTCCGACCCGAGGGCCACGCGGCTTGGAAGCCGCACGGGCCTCGGCTCCGTCTCTTTCCGGCTTTCTCCCCCCCTCACCGTCTCTGAGGCACCTCGCACTCTCTCTCTCCCCACCCCCCAACTGCTCCGGCGGCGGCGGCGATGTTCCAGAGCATCCCCCCAATTTTTCCCCCAAAGGTTTTGCATTTTTGTGCACCCCTGGGGACTGCCCCAAGAGTGCACAAAAATCTCCCTGCCCCTCAAGTCGCCCCGGAGCGCGGATTTAGCGATCCGCACTCACGGGGCGACTTGGCTATTAGTATAAGGATAGGAAATTTTTGCAGAGGTTGGTTGTTTAAAATATAAGGTGAGTGAAACTTAATTTAATAAACTTTGATGTGAAAATAAGAGATGGAGTCTAATTCTTGAATGTTTCTCTTCATCCCAGATGTATACGACTAGCTCTGGTTCATGATATGGCCGAGTGCATTGTTGGTGACATCGCTCCTGCTGATAACATTACTAAAGAGGAGAAACATAGACGAGAAGAGGTTGGTCTGGTGTCATAGAGAGTGTGTTAATGTGCAGAATTTGTGAAAAGAAATAAGAAAAAAATGGTCTGAGGCTGAACTCCTATGTCAACTGTATTCAGCATTCCCATAGCTAGAATCTTTCTCTAGCCTGGGAAGATACTTGAATTTAAAGCAGTTGGTAAATAACTGCCACAAGCACTTTCTAGACATAATGCTGGAAAAATCGTGCATACATTTATGTGAGGGGGACAGCATTGTGGTGACAAGCTCTGCCTCCAACTCATTTGTGTTCATTGGAATGTGTATAAAGGTCCTATGTGCTTACAAGTGTAAGTATGTTGAAAGATAGATCAAGATGGGCGGCCGTGTTAGTCTGTCTGTAGCAGTAGGAAAGAGCAAGAGTCCAGTAACACCTTAAAGATTAACAAAATATGTGGCAGGGTATGAGCTTTCATAAGAGATCTTCATGAAGTCAGCAACTCTGACTGTGGGATACACTTATATTAAAATATTACTATAAGATGAAAGTATGCATGCCTCCCAGCACACACACCAACACTGTCTCCTTGGCACATTGTATAACCCTTGTTCTTCTTGGCTACCTAAGTCTGCTGGGGAGATGTGAAGGACAAGAGGCTGTCCTGCCCCTGAAGAGAAAAAAACAGCCACTCAGCTAGGGCCGGAGCTTCCATAGAGGCGAGGTTAGGCACGAGCTGAGAAGGGTGCCTGTGCCCACTGGCTTGCCACCTCTCACCGCCCTCTGCCCCTCGCCAAAAGAGTCACTCACGCCAGTCGCCATGGGCACCCTGCTCCACCCCCTTTGGCTGCAAGGACAAAGAGCAGGTAGAGAAAGAGGTACTTTTCTCCCTTTCTCACAATACAAGAACTCGTGGGCACTCAATGACATTGCTGAGCGGTCGGGTTAGAATGGATAAAAGGAAGTACTTCTTCACCCAAAGAGTGATTAACACATGGAATTCACTGCCACAGGAAGTGGTGGCAGCTACAAGCATGGACAGCTTCAAAAGGGAATTAGATAAGCATATGGAGCAGAGGTCCATCAGTGGCTATTAGCCACAAGGTATAGATAGGGACTCTGGGGCAAGTGATGCTCTGTCATCTTGGTGCTTGGGGGGGTCAACAGTGGGAGGGCTTCTAATGTCCTGGCCCCACTGGTGGACCTCCTGATGGCACTGATATTTCTGGCCACTGTGTGATACAGAGTGTTGGACTGGATGGGCCTTTGGCCTGATCCAACATTGGCTTCTCTTATGTTCTTAAGGACTCCGTGTTGGGCCCTCCTCCTGATTGGTGCCCACCCACTCTCCGCGGGGCTCCACCCATCTGCCCGCACAATACACTGGCCAAAAAAAACTCCCCGGGCATTGTCATCATGTGACTGGATCACTTGAGGGGGATTAGTTACCCCCCCAACCCCCCTTGTCAGAGCCAGGTGCCTAGGACTTTAAAGTACTGCAGGGACAGATAAGGACTTCCCAGAAAAGGCGCTCTAGCCTGCAAGCCAGCAAAGGTGGGATTTGGTCTGGGAGACTGCACTGTGTGTGTGTGTGTGTTTTAATTTTAGTGAACAATATAACAATATAATAGGGGACCCGCAACAAAATGTTGCCATCCCATCCTATTGGCATTTCAGTGCAGTGGAAGAAATAGCCAAGCCCACACATCTTCAGGCAAAATACTGCACAGACTCACACTCCTGCAGTCTCTGAAGAAGAAAAAGTTTTCCTCCCCCTCCACTCTTTTTTTTATTTTCCTAACAGTAGACCATAAAACTAATTAGCTGGGAGGAGGCGGGGAAAGAGGGAAGAGCCGAGGCACTGGGAACTTCTCTCACCTGCTCCAAAGGGTGGAATCAAAAGCATGTTTATTTTCTGCTGGCTCCCCCCCCTTTTTTTTTGAGAACGTGTGTGAACAGGCAGCTAGCTTCCCATGGAAAGCTATTTCCCAAACTGTTTACCAAAATGTAAGAACAGAAAGAACCTACAGAAACTCATTACCTAGAAGTGTGCATGTCCATTGGCAGAGACTGAAGTTCATTACATTAGCTATAAATACTTTCTAAGTGATTTGCAGGATAAATACATTAAACTATAGTGTTGTGAGTTCTACAGTCTTACAGAGCTCTTGGCAAGAACTGAAGAGTATAAGACAGGATGCAATCTGCAAGTGTTCCTTGCAGTTCGGAGGTAATCTATTTATATCAGCAGTGTAGGAATTTGTCCACCACACTATGCTCTATCCTTTCTGAAATTCAGAGACACTCCTCCACATGCAGGTGCTGGCGTGACCTTGGGTCAGTCACAAGTTCTCTCAGAGCTGTTCTCCCAGGAGCAGTTCTCGAAAGAGCTCTCTCAGCCCCACCTACCTTTTCTCAGTTCAGAGTTTAAAATGCAGTGCTTTAGGGCTTTGTGAGTTTATTGGAATCATGCTTTCCTTACTACCTTTTCCTCATGTCATATTTCTAGCTGTTGAAATCGAGTGGGATATCTGCAATCATATAACCTGTGTGCTGGATTAGGTCTGTGGAGAAGTGGGCTAAAATTCCTGATCACTGGGTGTCTTTGGGCCAGTTACTCTTGAAGCCTAACCTACCTTTCAGAGATTGTGTTACTTGTTCTCACAATTTTTAAAAAATTAGCAGTTTCAAATTTTGTGATTTTTATTCTTCCTTAAATGCGTTTATGTTTGCAAATTGCTGGGTGCATGGGGGTGTGTGTGCCAGAAGATAGCCTCGCCTAGTGTGCAAAATAACCTGGCACTGGCCCTGCACTCAGCTGCTTCATTCCTGTGTTTATGGGAGTGCTGCTTCAACATCCCCACCTTTCTGAGGTGGGATGGAATGCTAGAGGGAAACACACAAAGAGTTAGTTCAGATCTGCCTCAGGGAGAGTGCCCTCACAGTTTTGGTCTCTCTCAGCAGGAGGGCAGTTTGAAGAGTAGCTCTGCCTGGTAGTGTGGCAGAGTGGTTTAACTCCGATTGTTAGGCGTGTCTCTGGTGATGTAAAGACCTTGTACCATTTGTTTGACTCTTGGGGAAGGGTGTGGATGGAATCGTGTGTGTGTAAGTGCCCAACCTAGTGGCTAGTTATTGAAAACCTATTTCTCCCTGAAAGCATTAAAGAGAATTCAAACCACACTCTGAAAGCATTAACGAGAATTCATACCACCCACTGAAGCCATTACTAGTTTAAATTTACATGCCTCAGCCAGGTTTCTCCTTTGATTATCAGGAGACCTATGCTACTAATCTGTTAAAACCAACCTGTAAGTAAATAAAACCTTTATTTACATACAACTCCTGCCTCAGTGATCTTCATGTTCATCTTGCTCAGCACAAATTTACCTCATGGCCGTGAACCCAAAGCCTATCTGATGAAGTGTGCGTGCATACAAAAGCTTATACCCAGAATTAAACTGTGTTGGTCTTAAAGGTGCCACCAGACTCAGACTTTGTTCTTAGAACATCTTGTAACTGAGGGGAAGGTTTCCAGTTTTAAATAAACCTGGTTACACAAAATCAAAAGAGACTGTATGGGTCCCTCATTTTTAACAGGGTCCTGGCTAACTGGTTCCAACAACAACAACAAATGTATTCACAGCAAAAAGCCAGCACTCTAATACAACAAACTAACTCAAACTAAATTCATACAACCGCAAGCATAAATGAAATATATAAAATGAATATCAAATAGAGCATGCATGTAAAACCTGTTAAGTCCTGTAACAAATTACATCTATTCATCTTTCACTAGCAGCTTTCTAGTCCTTACAGCTAACCAGCCAAATTTGGCAAGTTTAGCTGTAACCTTGGGGCACCTACTTTCTAGGAGGTTCTTCAGCAATTGCATCTTTTGACTAGTTGAGGATAGAATAGTTGTAGAGAGTGGGAGAATATCATGAAAGTGGCTATATGCCCTGCAGTCATATATAACATGCATTAAGGTTTCAGTTCCGTCATTGCAGCAGCGACATATACGATCAGCAAGGGTTTTTTTTAATTAAACCTCCCCTCTGTAACCGCTGGCTGGTTCCAGGAGATAGTTATGCCTCCTTGAGAGCAGGTGGGCACCCTGGCAGGCTGTGGTGTGTTCACCACTAAAACCAACCCTGGCCCCAGGAGATTTGGATAATGATCAACTAGTTGCAAATATTCCATTCTTCAGCAAGGTGATTGAACAGGTGGTAGCCAACTCCAGGATTCCTGGATGAAGGGGATTGTTTGAATCCTTTTAAATCTGGTTGCAGGCCTGAAAACAGCCTTGGTTGCTGTCGAGGACGACCTGTGATGGGAAATGAATAGAGGAAGGGCAGCTCTGCTGATTGTCCTGAACCTCTCAGTAACCTTTGATATCATCAATCATGGTTTCCTTCTGGGAACTGCCTTTCTGAGCTAGGAGTGGGAGACAGTGTTTTGCAGTGTTTCCACCTTTCAAAAAGTAGTTTGTGGCTAGAAGTGCTTTATACTAGCTTTGACTGGGTAGCCATCTGTGGCCTTTCCTAGACAGAAAATTTCTGGCCACTGTGTTGTGTACCCTGGTGATATCTTGGTTAGATTACTGCTTGCGCACTTGATGTGGAGTTGCCCTTGAAAAGTGCTCAGAAACCTCAACTGGTACAGAATGCTACAGTCAGGATGTTGACTGCAGTGGGTCTCAGTGTGTTTCCAAGCCCAATTCAAGGTGATGGGGTTGACCTTTGAAGCCCTACATGACTTGAGACCAGCACACCTGAAGGACCACCTACTCCCTTATGAACCTACTTGACTGCTAAGGTCATCCTCTGAGACCTTGTTTTGGGTGCCCTTGCCTTCTGAGATCAGGCGGGTGGCAATCCAAGAAAGGGCCTTTCCCACCATAGCACCAAAGCTATGGAACTTTCTCCCCTTCTGTCACTATCTTCCACTGGGGGTTCAAGATGTTTTTGTTTTGTCTGATGTCTCCTCAATGATCCCTCCTTCCTGCCCTGTATTTTAATGACTGTTTCATGTGCTTTTAATATAGATTTTAGTTTTGAATTTATTTTTTTTACAAGTTGATTTTATCATTGGGCAGAAAGGCAGCATATGGATTTCTAAATAAAGTAACTATAAAATAGCTGTGGGCTCACCACCAGTACCTAAGCCTGTACAAATGGAAATTATGTTGAATTTTATATTGGCCACATTTGAGGGGGGGGAAACCAGCATCCCCAAGTTGGATGTGTGAAGTGGTATTAACTAGTTGTAGTTAATAGTGGTATTAATGACTGACATCTGTGCTTGGTCACTTTATTGTAGATAAATACAAAAGCAAAAGCCATGTACTACAAGAGCAGCCAAAAACAACACAACACAGTGTGCAGGCTTTTGAGTTCTCCAGAATTCCTTATCAGACTGGAAGCAAAAAAAAAAAAAGTGGTGGGATAGTTTGTTCAGGCTGTGATCTTAAGGCCTCTCAATCAGTTTTCTATGTAGAATTCTTGGCTGGCTTTAATGTGCACAGAGTGTGGCTGCTTGGTGTCAGGTTCTGCCCTTGGAATGCTGGGAATAAGCCAAAAAAATGAGGAAGCCCTCCAACTGAAAATATAATAGTTAATGTCTCTTTGACATTGGACAGAATGCACAAATCACTTAAAAGGAGAGTGCAGAGGAAATACATAGTAGCCCTTATGTTTTGTTTTGTTGTTTGCTATCAAATCATGGCCAAGTTATGGCAACCCTGTAGGGTTTTCAAGGCAAGAGGTGTTCAGAGGTGGGTTGCCATTGCCTTTGTCTGTGTGGCAACCCTGGTGGTCTCCCATTCAAATACTACTCAGGGCTGACCCTGGTTAGGTTCTGAGATCTGACAAGATCATGCTAGCATGGGCTATCTAGGTCAGAGCATGTTAATAACACTAGAGGTTAATTCTAGTTTATCTTCTAAGTGAAGAGTCAATATAAGGCATGTAAGTGATGCTTCCTAGTGAAATTTCCCAGGTTCATTCACCATGTTTTGTTTTTTAACATCCAGCCTGATGAAAAATTTGGGGAACTCATACCTTTTTGTTTCTGGATTTTTGCCGTGGTCCAACAGAACTACCTACTTTTGATCTGTTATAATGGCCACTAGAGGTCACAGTCCTATTCTAGAATCTTTCAAAGGACTTGATGCCTTGCAATATGATAGGGGGCTCCTTATAGCAATTGTTTGCAGTACTAATTCTTTTGACTTGCTAGTGTCATTTTATTCTGGGAATTAGTCATATAATTTTCTGTTTCCTTTAATTACTATTCAGTTGCTGGGGATAATCTTTCTTAATGTGTGAATTCTCCATGAATGTTGATGTTTTAATTCTGTCTGCTAGGATAATCTGGCAGTTCCTGCAGGTTCTAAATATCAAAGTGCTACACAGAAGTTCATTTTTTCACAAAGCAAAAACTCAAATGTTGAATTTTGTTTAACAGCTAACAAAATGTAGGATTCTATTTTTCAGGATGCTATGGAACAACTGACCCAATTGCTGTCAGAAGACTTAAAAAAAGAAATTTATGAACTTTGGGAAGTAAGCTTTTAACATCTGAAATATGCTTAACTGTTAATAGTTACTATTCTAAAGCAGTCTTTGTACTGTTCTAAAGAGGTCTTTTTGTCTATTGAATATAGATTATGGAAATAGAACAGCTGATATTCACATAGTAGACATGGGAATTTACTGCATCAAAAATGAAATTTTGTAAGACAAGCCTGCAAAATTTGTGAATGGCAAGCCAAATCTAGCCAGATAGCTATGTAAGGGAACTTGATAACTTGAAAATAGAGATTTTTTTCTTCCTGTATTACTATGAATTCAAAGGAAAGGCACCTGGCAACCGATATTTTGCTGGGTTGGGCTTGGTAAATAAGGTCTGGTGAAGAATGTACCGGAGGGAGTTTCTAGGTATTTATCAAAATGGCTTCCTTCATAGGACTTTGCTTATATGATGCATTTTAAAAAGCCAGATTTTGGTAATTATCCTTCCATGCTTTTAATTAAGCTATTAAGCATAACCACTTAATGTAAAGCAGGCTGAATCATTCTGGGAAATAAGGTGTGGGAAAATATTAAGTTATGAAGTCATAAAGATAATATATACATTTCTTGAATTTAATAACTTGCACTGCCATAAATGCTTAGACCGAATAACTCCTAAGAAAACCGTGTGTGTGTGCGTGTGTTGAATCCTCTTTGTTGGGTGAAGTGGAATTATAAACATTTTAATTAATATTATTTTGTCTTATGTGTTCCTCTTGTATACCACAAATTCTCCCGGAATTTCTCCCAGAATAGATATATAAACCTTTCTAATACACTTTGTTACGTTAAGGGAGTTGTTAGGATCCTAACCTTGGTAGCCTGTGGCAGCATTCACTAAAAACGCACTTCTCTATTGGGTTGTAGATTTCAAATCAATGAGGGTCACAATCTGTTCTCTCACCCACTTGATGCCGTTCGAGTCTTCTAGAGTATATGAGCAAAACAGGTTTTAAATACCAGTGTTACAGAGAACACTCAATAATGAGATAGAAAAGAAATGACATGAGAGTCAGCTCTCTATTCTGTAGATTCTCCCCCTCCAGTCTCTTCTCTTGAGAAATGTCAGGAAGTTGTAAGTAATCCCTGGGAGTCTCTTCATGTTGTGCCTTGAGGTACCTTTCTGCCTTGTACAGGAACAGAATCCAGACGCCTAATTTCACCCACCGAGAATTCAACATGTTCCTTTCATCTTTGTCATTAAAAATCATTTGCAGTGTGCACATTTGGTCACTTGTGGCTTGGTTACGCCTACGGAATAGCTGAACTGCACAGATGCCTCATGAATTCAGCACTATGTGCTGCATGGTGAGGCTTGCTTAACTCCCTTTGAAACACTTTTATGAAAATGTTTAGTCACAATACTCTGCACAGGCTAGGGTTGCTAGGCCGGGGCAGGGGGCTTACTGGCAGAGAGGGAGGCCTACACCAAGGGTGTGTATTAGTGGCTACTACTCATGGTTAGGGATGTGCAAAAAAAAAAATTCGGTAAAATTCGGATTCGGGTTTATTGAACCCGAATATTTTCGGGAAACCCGAAAAAACCCGAATATCTAATTCGGTAAAGCATAGATATCCGAAAATTTTCGGAAAACCCGAAAAATTCGGGTCCATTATAACCAATGGGGCCATTGAAGTCAATGGCAAAAAACCTCTTGAAACTTTGCAGGGGGGAGGGGGGTAGAGGCTCCAAATTTGGACAGTGGCTGCTCATGCCTCTTCCCGAAAGACCCCCAAAGTTTCAAGAAGATTGGCCCAGGGGGTCCGATTCCAGGGGCATCCAAAGAGGGTGCCCCCAGTCCCCCCAGATCAGCTTGCTGTATTCCCGGTTTGCCGCCGAAATTCGGCGGCAATGCATTTCAATGGGATTTTTACCTTTTACTTTCCTTTTTGCAGACCCCTAGGAGGGGGAAAGAGGGAGAGGCTCCAAACTTGGGGGGTGGTTACTGGAACCTCTCCCCAACATGCCCACCAAATATCAAGAAGATTGGACCAGGGGGTCCAATTCTATGGGCCCCCAAACAGGTTGCCCCCATCCCTCCATTTCCCACCATAGAGAACAATGGAGGGATGGGGGCAACCTGTTTGGGGGCCCATAGAATTGGACCCCCTGGTCCAATCTTCTTGAAAC